ATTTGTTTACATGTATTTAATCATAAGGAATAGAAGTTGCACTTAAGGAAGTGTACTAAGTAAGGTACCTTAGATAGGCTAAGGAACCGTTTAAGGGAGATTTATAAATGTTATACTACCTTAGAGTGTTGAAGTGGTCAATACTTAGGAAAGGTAGACACGAATAAAAGGCATGATCTCGGTAAGAGTTCACCAATGAGAAGGTGTGGTGTGGACTTTGATATTCCATGGCACACTGCCAGTACTCAGTGTGCCTTACGTATTATGGGCTCAGTGCACTAAAGTGGTTAGTGTATTGAGTGTTTGACACCTCTCAGTGGGGGAGGGAATCCGACATATGAAGTGTGAGGTTGAGTGTCTAGGCCAAGGTAGCCCTCACATGGAGAGTGAGTCGGGCTGGCTCTGGGAGGAGGGAGTTAGCTTTGACTGCTCAGGATTCACGTCGAAGGGGCATAGGCGGTTTGGTGGATTAGATCATGCCTTAGATTATGTTTTGTGCCTGTGGAGGTACAAGTAGGTATAAGGTTTACCTATGAGTAAAGAGTGCCAGGGGCATTCTGTTGGTCATGAAAGGTCATACTGGCCTAGGTCTTGCATTCATACATTTTAAATGGCTAAATTATACTATGTTGAATTTATTATTCATTTATTTGATTATGACTTGCTTTGTAATAATCAATGTAGATTTCTCTGTTACTGAGACTGTGGTTGTCTCACCCCTTTCTTTTCAATATTCTAGGTCCAGGCGAAGGAACCAGTGGAGGACGGGGAGGAAGGAGCAGAGCTAGGGTTGTTTGTGAATTGTAAAGAACTGCAACCCCTTTCTTTTGAGCAAATCTATTGTAATGTATTTAGGATTAGGGTGCCAGTAGGATATGATTATGTATATAGCATGAGTATGTATGGATTGTATGGCTTGTGTATAAATTTTTGTTTGCTTGTAGACTTATGGCTAGGAAACTTGGCTATGGTGTGTGGTTTTGATGGATTTATTTAGTAGACCAAGTTTTCACTACAAGCAAATATTTATTTTGATATATATGTGATTCCACAAGCAAATGCAAAGTGGTTGCATTGCAAATGGTGTGCTATGGGCAAACATATACCTTGGATAGAGAGAGTGGGTGCGTGGGCCCCACAGAGATCTCTGAGCCAAGTGAAAATGTTTTGCTTGTGTATTCATATGTGTATATGATATTTGAATAGTTTTGGCCACTCTTGTGTGATTTATGCATTTTGGGGGTTTAGGGTCCATTTTGAGAAATGGCACCCGAGTGGTCAAATTTTGGTATAAAGGGTTTTTCTACCAGTTAAATGTTCTATCAGGTTTTTAGTCCTATTTGACGTGTCCAAAGTGTTCCCACAAGTTTGTGACCATCAGGATGAGATTTGGACAATTTTGAAAATGGTTTTACTAAAAACCTGCACTTTTACATCCGGGTGTCCAAATCTTAATCCGACCGTTTGATTTTTCTAAAATTTAGGTCACAAGTAAAACCTTTTATAAAATTTGTGTGGGCTTTGGAACCATGTCAATCGGATGTCGGACAGAGAAAGGAGAGCACTTCGGAATTTGGTCTGGAGGAGCTGTCATGACAGCAATATATGTTAATGTTGCAACATGCACGAAATTTAATCCGTCTGTTGGATCTTTCCAAATTTGGTATGCTAATAGTACTATTTAAAAGTGACATGTAAATTTGGAATCGCTCCGATCAGATGTCGGATGATGAAATGGTGCACCCCAGAAGTTAGTCCGGAGGTGCTGTCATGACAGCTTTTTAGCTGTCATGACAGCAAAAATAGTCAATCTTTTAACATGCCTAATTTTTTAATCCGATCGTTGGATCTTTTTGAAATTTGGTACACTTATAGTACCCTTTGAATGTGACGTGTGAGCTTTAAATCACTTTGGTTGGGGGTCGAATGACGGAACGGCACCTCCTGAAAGTTGGCCTAGGAGGGCTGTCATGACGGCAATAAATTACTGTCATGACAGCCTTTGCTTCCGTGCGCTATAGGTAAATCCTATAATTTTTTTTAAGGTTTAAAATGATTTATTTCTTAAGTTGGTTAGAGGATCAACTCTTTAACCACTCTTAGTTTATTTGAATTATGTGATTTTTTGGATAACACTCGGGGCAAGTGTTACAACTTAGGTGAAAGAAATGAGGCAAAACCAGTTCACTAAGGAAGACGGGGATGGAGGAAGGAAATCTATAATTTTCAGCTTACCAGCTCGCGCTAGCTGAGCCTCTGCACGTTTTCACGTGAACAATAGCTTATTCTCCTGAGTTCCATGCTTCTTTTTCTTTCCATTATAGGAGCATTTTCGTCTCTTCTTAGTGCAAATTAAATACTATTAGGACCTCCTAAACTGCAGTGTAAATTCAGATTTAATTGGTCTTCAGCTATGAATATCTTTCTCTAGCGATCATTGGCTGTAATTTTCTCTAAATTAAATGTCGTCGCTAAAAGTGAACCTTTTGCAGTGACTTTTTTGTCATCACTAAAAGTTATCGCTAAAATTCTTTTTTTTTTTTGCAATGAGCCTGCAAAGAGTTGAGTGACCTAAATTGCTCTGCTTGTAAATGTTGTGTATATGCTTTATCCTTTCCTACCGTCGTAAGCTTGTACAAGGACTTCATTCCTTTCCTATCATAGTAGACAAAACCAAATTGGTTGCCTAAAATGATAGTTTTAGACTTTACTACTATAGTAGCTCTATGCTTGCTTAAAAACTAATATACTATAGTAGGGCTTTGTTATAAGAGTAGGTTTTTTCTAATATCTTGGTAGAGCTGTAGGTGAGTCATTTTTCTATCATGATAGAATTTATGTAGTTCATTTTCTACCATGATAGGGGATCACCTAATGCGGTGGTCAATTGCATAGATAGAGCTGGCTATTAAAAGGAAAAGTCACCCGAGTGTTGAATGACCTCTTTCTCTCTTGTAAGATGCATCTGTTATATATACCTTAGGGTCATCGGGTTATTCGCTCCATCTTGGACCTAATATATGTCTCTCTCATAGAGCTGTCAATTGTTTTTATTTATTTTATTTAATTCCTGACACATTTGATATATGAAATAGAATGAAACAAAAAGAAAATAAAAAAAACTTCTTATAACAATAATTAAAAACTTAATTACTTATACATAATGATAATAAAAAATGAACTAAATAGGACATAATATCGATTTTCATATATAAGAGAAAGAGAATCCTTTTCACATCTTTTAACCAATTGACGCCATATATAATATAATCCTAAATATTTTCATGATCTTTTGGCCAAGTCTTTACACGAGTCAATTACGTTACAAAGGTTCACTTATTGCAACTTGCTTGCTGTATATGTATATATATATAGCCAATGACACTGCCTATAGGCTTGTACTTGAGTTGCCTTGAGGTATTTCAGTACCAAAGAGAATGTTGCCGTTGAAGTTTCTTTTTACTTTCCCTGCGTCCGTCATCAGTGAGGCATCTAAATTCAACTTTCTTATTGGGATCACCATTCGCTGATCTAAAACCGCCATTATTACTACCAGTAATCCTGGAGCAGATACTATTGATAAAACCTAACTTTTGTTTGTCTTTTGGTTTCTCATCATTATCATCCTCCTCATCAGAGCCCACCAAATAGTCTCTTTCTTCACCAGAAGGGCTATCGCAAAGGTGGCTCTCATCCTCATTATGATATTTACATTATTCTTCCTCCTGAAGACCAAGGTATTTTCGTCTGATCCTATTCCTCCATAAGGATAGCTTGTGAATGAGTCTTTGATGGGAGAAAATGGATTCTTATTGAGGTCAGCAATGGAGTCAAAGGAAGTCGGAGTGGTGGTTGAAGAAGAGAATGGAGAAAGAAGAGGCAGAATGTGGTTCAGAGGAAGATGAACTACTTGATGCTGATGGAGAGTACTCTGAACTTCCAAAGCCTTGGATTTCATTCGTTATTTTCAGAGCCTTTAAGCGTGCTTCTCGTAGTGTTGGTCCACCTTGCAACAGCTTCAGTATTTGGTCAGATATTTTCTGCATTCTTGCTCCCCAATTAAACCTGCCGCAAGTATAGACTTTATTATTGAAATTAAAATAAGTAGGATTAGAGGGTAATTGGGCCCCTAAACTCACTACAACAAACTACAGTGTTTTTAACTTAGAGTCGAAAATAATAGAATTTTCTACAAATATTTATGACCGTCAAAATATCATGTCAAGATTAAATTAGTGTTTTCAACACTACTGGAAGAGAGTTTTTTCAACAACTATTTTGACCCTATTTATTTCAACAACTATTTTATTAAATCTGTCAACTTTTATTTTTTAACAAACTTTTTTAGTATTGATAAAGTTGGTAGAAATACCTTATAAAAAAGATCGGACAGAGAAATATTTTAAAATTTATTTCAATTAATATTTTTTTGGAAGACTTCTCACTTTTTTTAGTAAAGGAAAATACGCACTTTTAAAATGTTACATACATAGATAATAGAGATTAGTATAATTATAGACAGATATTTTGATATGTAGTTATTTATTATTAATATGTTGAAAAAAGATATTTATTAACAGCAGCTACTTTGTTCCATTGTGGTTTGTGGCTTTGATTCAAACTTCAAAACACGTGTTCGAGAGCTGGCATCTGAAAGGATATTTATTAACACTCCTTTAATATGCAAAATGATAAAAATATATAGTACTATAAGTCTAGAAGTGTATGTGACCATAAATTCTTTTTTTGTACAGTGCTTCTTTTCAACTTTTAAAAATGATATAATGTAGTCTCTACAATTAATAAAAGTTAATTTTAACTGATAGTTGACCAAAAAATGACAAAAAATAACAAAAAAAATTAAAAACAAGTACCCAAAAAATTATAGAAAATGACTAAAAAAAATTTCTAAGTTTTTTTTCTATCATTTTCTTATCAATTAATTGTCAAATTTAACTTGTGTTAATGATAGACGTTACACTACACCATTTTCAAAAGTGAAAAGGAAACATTGCACCAAAAACGAATTTAGGATCCCATACATTTAGGAACCTAAAATTTAAGGGCTATGTTATACTGCCATTTAACCCACATAAGTAAAAGAAATCAAATTAATTTATATCAATGAAGCTTCATTGTGTGTGTGTGTGTGTGTGTGTGTGTGTGGTGAGTGAGTGAGTGAAAGAGAGAGAGAGAGTCACTATATGCGTTCATTGTTTTCAGACTAAAACGGATAAGGTGTCCTTTTTTATTTTTTATTTTTTATTTTATCAATAATTAGACATATTAATTACTTGTGATTCCTTGTGAATAACAACAACAACAACAACAACAAGCCTTTATCCCACTAGGTGGGGTCGGCTACATGGATTGCAAGACGCCATTGTGCTCTATCATTTATTAAGCTTTTAGAAATATTATTAATTAAGAGATCACGTTCAACAACTTCCAAGAGTGTTCTCTTAGGCCTTCCTCTACCTCTCTTAATCGGACTCAAAGTTATATGTTCCACTCTTCTCACTGGTGCCTCCCTTGGTCTTCTTTGTACATGCCCAAACCATCTCAACCGATTTTCTACCATTTTTTCCTCAATAGGTGCCACCCTCACTTTTTCACGTATGTGCTCATTTCGAATTTTATCTTTACGTGTATGTCCGCACATCCATCGTAACATTCTCATCTCTGCTACTCCAACTTTATGCTCTTGCTGTCCCGTTAGAGCCCAGCATTCACTACTATATAACATTGCCGGTCTGATAGCAGTACGATAAAACTTTCCTTTAAGTTTATTAGGCACCTTACGGTCACAAATAACTCCTTTAGCTTTTCTCCAATTAAACCACCCAGCTTGAATTCTATGTGAAATATCTCCACTGATTTCGCCATCATTTTGAATAATGGCTCCCAAATATCTAAACTTTTCCACTTGAGGTATGATTTGATCTCCCAATTTCACTTCCAAATTATTTTCGAATAGTCTTTACCAAATTTACAATATAAATATTCCGTCTTACTTCTACTCAGACGAAAACCTTTCGACTCCAATGTCCTCCTCCATAACTCAAGTTTGCAATTAACCTCTTCTCTTGTCTCTGCTATAAGAACTATATCATCCGCGAAGAGCATACATTTCGGGATTTCCTCTTGAATATGTTCCGTCAAAACATTTAAAATCAAGTTGAACAAATAAGGACTCAGAGATGATCCCTGATGTAGTCCAATCTTGATAGGAAAATCCTTTGTTTGACCACTAGGCGTTCTTATACTAGTTTTTACCCCCTCATACATATCTTGTATGGCTTTAATATAAGCAATCCGTACTCCCTTTTTTTCCAACGCTTTCCAAAGCACTTCTCTTGGTATACGGTCATAAGCTTTTTCCAAATCAATAAAAACCATGTGTAGATCTTTATCTTTACAACGATACTTTTCCATTAATCCCCTTAGTAGATAAATTGCCTCTGTAGTTGATCTACCTGGCATAAAACCAAATTGATTCTCAGAAATACTTGTCTCCAATCTAACCTGTGCTCAATTACTTTCTCCCACAATTTCATTGTGTGGCTCATGAGTTTAATCCCTCTATAGTTAGTACAATTCTGAATATCTCCTTTATTTTTATAAATAGGAATTAATGTACTTCTCCTCCACTCATCAGGCATTTTCTTGGACCGTAAAATCACATTAAATAATTTAGTTAACCATCTCACCCCTTCTTCACCTAAACATTTCCACGCTTCGATAGATATACAATCAGGTCCGTTAGCTCTACCATTTGCCATTTTCTTAAGAGCTTCCTTTACCTCCTTATCACGTATTTTTCGATAGAATGACAAATTTTGTTCTCCTACACCAGTTACTAAATCCTCCAAGTTACTAGATGAATCCTCTCCATCATTGAAAAGTTTAGAAAAATAAGTCTCCCATCTATTTTTAATTTCATCATCTGTAACTAAAATTCTTCCCTCTTCATCCTTAATACACCTTACCTGTTCTAGATCTCTTGATTTTCTTTCCCTACTCTTGGCAATCTTATAAATATTTTGCTCTCCTTCCTTCGTCTCAAGGTTCTTATAAAATTCTTCAAAAGCTTTGGAACGAGCTTCACCCACAGCTCTCTTAGTTTCCTTCTTAGCCATACGGTACCTCTCCCAATTTTCCTCATTGTTACACAAATGTATGGCTTTAAAACAGTTCTTCTTATACTTGATTTTGTCCTGTACACTATTATTCCACCACCAAGACTCCTTATCTCTCGGACCAGAACCTTTCGATTCTCCCAAAACTACTTTTGCAACCTCCCGTATCTTTTTAACCATATCCTCCCATATGATGTTAGCACTTCCCTGAGAATCCCAAATTCCTTTATCCAAAAGATTTCGCTTGAAAATATCTTGCTTCTCACCTTTTAATTGCCACCACCTAATCTTTGGTGTTACTACTTGTCGACGTTTTTGGATTTTACTCATAATACACACATCAAGGACTAGGACCCTATGTTGTGTCGTTACAGCATCTCCAGGGATCACCTTACAATTTTTACAAAGTTTTCTATCTGTGTTCCTAACCAAAAGAAAATCAATCTGCGACCTTGAGGCTCCACTTTTGTAAGTGATGAGATGCTCATCTCTCTTCTTGAAACAAGTGTTGGCAATCTTAAAATCATACGCCAATGAGAAATCAAGAAGAGTTTGCCCTTCATTGTTTAGCTCTCCAAAACCAAAACCACCATGCACCCTCGCATACTGACCAGCTTCCCTCCCGACATGCCCATTAAAGTCTCCTCCAATAAAAATCTTTTCACTCTGTGGTATGTGTCGAATCAACCCCTCCAGATCCTCCCAAAATAGTTCCTTAAGACTGGCTTCTGTCCCGACTTGCGGCGCATAAGCGCTAACAATATTAACAGTCTCACGTCCAATTATCATTTTTAAAGAAATAATTCTGTCTCCAATTCTGCTAACTTCTACAACGTTCTTCTTCCACTCCTTATCTATAATGATGCCTACTCCATTGCGTGCACTTACTTTTCCTGTATACCAAAGTTTGAAACCTTGAATATCCTTAGCTCCTTCTCCACGCCATTTTGTTTCTTGCAAGCAAAGGATATTGATTTTCCTTTGAATCATAACCCCTACAACCTCTACAGATTTACAATTTAATGTCCCAACATTCCAAGTACCAAATCTAATTTTGCTCTTATGGACTAACTTCTTTAGCCGCGTGCGTCCAGAATGACGCGGTAGCCCTTGCTCATTTAACACTACATCCGGGCGCCGATGCAGCGGCTCTAACTCACTTATCACTGTACTCGAGCCATGCAGCGCGTTACTTACGGGCATTTTGTTCCTTGTGATTCCTAACTCACATACTGACCGGCTCTAACTCACTTGTGATTCCTTGTGAATAATGCAACATATTATGGGGTCCATTTTGTTCAATTCCAGCACCACCTTGAAATGGCAATAATCTAGATCCCATTGCTAGACAATATGCATATAGTTTCGTTGGTATTAAGGTTTGGAATGGTGTTTCCCATGACAATCACGATTGCAAAAACTTTTTGCATGGTTGTTCCTGATGTCTCCGAGAACCAATTATATATAACTTGCTAGTAAATAAAAGTTATTGTTAGAAAGAAAACCGATTATAGAAATTAGTGATACTATATATATTTGTGACATAAGGGTTAGAGAATATGTGTGGAATTTAGAAAAGTACCCTCTTTCATCAATGTGGGTAAAGCTTCCGACTTCCTCAATGACTTCAGAATCACATTGAAACTCAACAGCAAAGTCCTCTGGGCCATGGGTTAGCAAGAATTCAAGTAGAACCAGTGCTTTGTAAGATCGCCTCCAGTCGTCAGTGTTAAAGCACCCCAATCTATGTTTCAATATACTATAGTAACTAATATAGTCACAACAATATATAAAGCAATTACATTGAAATGACTTCAAAATCACATTGAAATTAGTTCTAATTACGCACTACACTTATTTCTACTACATTGAAATATGTTACTTTAGTCCTTATTATAAGATGCATTTTAAAAGGATTTTTTGGTCCTTAATATAAAGACCCATGGGATATTAATTACATTTTTTAAATATTACATTTATTTAAATTCATTAATTATAAGAAATAATGTAATGCAAATTTGAAAATTTTTTATTTAAGTAGAGGTAAAATGAAAAGTTTATTCTATTTTTAGATAAAATGATTTAACCACCTCTCCTCAGTTCTTGTGAGATAATTAGATGTACTTTATAATAGGGATTGAAGGGAGAATATTTGTATGTATGTATGTATGTATGTATATGTCACGACTACAAGCCCTTTAAATAGAACTCACCCCCAAAAGGCATGTCATAAGGAGAAAGTGCCTAGCTGACTTATAAACCACACTCCATCAATGTGACCTCCTAATGTGGTACTCATAACAATATATGTATTTATGTATGGGTAAAGAAGAAGAATCACCTTTGGTGAAGAACATCAACAATTCTCCAGTAATCATCCACCTCAAAGGACGCTTCAGCAATTCTTGTCATTGTTTTGGCATCTGGGCTACATGGATCCTTATTTGTTGCCTCCTCAGCCAGCCTGCATGTTCATAATAGCAATATTGTCACTGTCCCTATGAACATTTCATCATCTCATTTAATTACCGTTTATACGAATTTTCACTATCATCAATTCATATAAACCCTGTGGTTTTCATAACCCGTTCTCTTTTCTAAAATATTTGGTGATATATATCTAAGATATTACCGAGGCACCTAGTGACGGGGGAGAGGATGTGGTTAGGTGGCGTGGTTCTTGTGATGGGAAGTATATTAGTGTGGCTGAGATGTATACTAGGCCGAGGGGTGAGGAGGAAAGGATTTGGAGTCTGGTGTGGACATGGAAGGGGCCGCGGCAAATCCAAGTTTTGCTTTGGCCGGTTGTGCACAATAGGCTCTTAACTTCATCTAGAAGAGCACGATTGATGGGTGGATCATCTTCTTGTATGCGTTGTCAGGATTGGGGAGGAAGACATTTTGCATGCCTTAAGAAACTGCATTCATGCGAAGAGGATTTGGAAGGGAATGGGTAGAAGGGAGGTTGACAATATCTTTTTGGCTGTTGATTGGAGGGAATGGTTGTCTAAGAATCTAAGTTCTAATTGTGATTGGAGTACGCTATTTGCTGTGACTTGCTGGTTGCAGTGGCACTGGAGGAACAAGGTGTTTTTTGAGGATGGTTTTAGTATGCCTGAAAGCCCTGCTCGTGTCATCTGGAATTTTGTGTAGGAAAAGAAGTATTTTTTGAATGTGAATGTTGGTTTAAGGAGGGTGAACAGGACAATTTTGGTTGGATGGAGACCTCCTGTTGAGGGCTGGCTGAAGCTGAACTTTGATGTGGCCAGAAAACTCTCAGGGTTGGCAGATTGTGGGGTGATTAGATATTGGAAAGGAGAATGGGTTGCAGGGTTTGTGAAGCAAATTGCGAATTGTTCGGCGTGTTATCTCAGTTATGGGATACTACTCCCTTTGGTTATATTTATAAAGTAGAGAGAGAAAAAACAATTTATCTTATTTATAGGTCACATAATTAATTTATCATAATTTTCCCATTTTACCTTCCATTAAGAGAAAGTATGTTTTAATAAAGGCAAAATTTAAAACTTATTAATTTTTTTTAAAGAGGGTTAACAAAATTTAAAGTTTTTCTTAATTCTGATTAAATATGTTGAAAGCCTCTTGTAAATAAGATTATAAGAGTAATTAAATATATAATTTCTCAAACCAAAAGGAAAAAAGAAATTAGGAAGACACTTACAGTTCAGCTTCAGTAACATCAGTAAATTTCAAGCGGGCAACTTTGTACTTTTCTTGTAGAAATGACGATGTCTGCTTCTTGATTTGCTCAAGGAATGGAGTTCCCATTGTGCTACTAAAAATAAACTCCACAATTTGTGTTCACACAAAGAAACTGGTTTTTATGATAACTATACATTATCCAGGCTAAACAAAATTAATATTCTGGGAAACATTTGTTGAAACCCATAAAAGGGATACAATCCTCCCATTATAAAGAGGATAAGGAACCGAATTCAGCTTCTCAAATGATCAAAGAAGAGACAAAGAAGGAAGGAACCACAAATTCATGGATTTCCATTAATGTCGAAGAGAAATATAGAGAAAGAGGGAGGAACCGAAACGTAATAAGGACTGAGCTAATTTTAGAAAATTGGACTAGGTAAAATCCATGATTTTGTCTCTAGCATGCAGTACCCTGAATTTTTTATATTGACTTTTTTTTTAATGATATATCACAGATTATACGGTATAAATAATAATTATATATGTTTTTTATAAATTTGAGGTTAAAATGCATAAAACTCTTTGAATTTTGAGGTAGTTACATATGACTCTCTTCATTTTTAAATGTTTTAAATTAACTCCCCCAACCTTTCATTTTATTTTTCAAATTAACTATTATTTTATTAGTATAATTATTGTCAAGTCAAATTAATGCAATACACATGGCACATGATATGGAAAAAAATATTTTTATTATTTTTTAATACAATTTAAGGAGGGAGAAAATTATAATTTGCATTTTTAACACACATGACGATGCTCTTGTTTTTTTTAGTTGAGAGACATTGTTTTCATTATTTACAAGGTAGCACAACTTAAGAAAAAAATATATAATTTTATTATTCTTTATCAATTAAAACAGTTTTTGATATTAAACAAATGAAAAAAAATATCGAAAATCTGTTATTAATAAGAATCTATGAGTTGTTTTTAACAAAATTGATGCAAAACAGCAATAGCAAAAAAAAAAAAAATCTTGTTCTAAAGCTGCACACACATGCCACTATATTTGTAACATACCAATAACATATTTTTTTATTTGAACAAGTAATGAAAATTTAATTCAAAGGAGAAAATAACAACTACAAACAAATAAGAGTGTGAAAAGAAAAATAAAGCAGATAACAAAATTTATATGACTCATATTAATGGTAACTTTTTAATATTCTTCTTTCATTTGTTTGATATAAAAAGCTATTTTAAGTGATTAAGAATAATAAACTTACAATTTTTCTCTTAAATTATTTACTCGTGAACAATGAGAACAAAGTCGTTCAACTTAAAAAAATGATAGCATCGTTATGTGTGTTAAAAGTCAAAATTACAATTTCACCCCTCCCTAAATTGTGACGAAAGGTAATAAAAAAATTTCCATGTCATGTGTCATATGTATTACATTACTATGACATGACAATAACTATATTAATAAAATAATAGTTAAATAATGGTAGGAAACTTTGAAAAACAAAATTAAATGTTAGGGAGGTTAATTTTAAATATTGAAAAGGGGGAGTCATATGCAACTGTTTCAAGGTTTTAGGGAGTTTTATGCATTTTAGCATAAATTTAAATGTGACAATCACATTTAGTTTTACAAATTTATTGAAAAGATTGTGTCAACAACTTCAACTAAACAATTGATTTGTCAAGCCCAAGATAATATACTTATAACTATCATTTGTTCATATCATTTTGATATCATTTTCCCTAGCTTTTGGCACTCTTTAGGGGTATTTAGTGTGTATTTGAAGCATTTTAGATCATTTAGGATAATTTTGTAATTTCCCAAACTTTTGGGGTAAAAGTGCAAATTTCTAAAGATTAGGGGCAAAACTGTAATTTTTGAAAATCAATTCAGAAAATAGAAAAACTCATCATTTGCTAATTTTAAGTTCTTCATTAATTCCATGAGTTTAATTTGAGTTAATTCAACTTAGATTGTGAATTATTTACTAAAACATACATTAAAGTACACACTTCTTATACTTTAATTGTACTTTCCATGAACTTTAGAAGTATATTAGTTTTAGCTTTTATAATCAATAACTCCTAAGAAACTTTTCATAACTAAATTCATCTCCTAATCTTCCATTTAATCACTTTAATTCACTTTACCACATTTCTAAGTTGGATAAATTCATTACACAATAGAATTATTTGTGCACAACTTGCTATTTAATGAGTTCATTGTATTTTTTAAGCCATGGGAAGCTCTTCGATGATGATGGCAAAACCCTTGCATGAAATTGGAGCCTTGGATGAGCTATTTTGGTGATCAAAAGGTCGCAAATGGATGATGAAATCTCAAGAAAACACAAGGATAGTCATGGCAATTTCATATTCCAAAATTAATTCCCTTTCCATTATTTTCAAAATTCTCCTTCCATTTTTAAATTATTAGTTGTCTTCCATTTCCATTTATTGTCATTTAAATAATTCATTTTCAAAATTCATAGCTATACATGAAACACCATGTGAAAGGACCCTTAGATGCACACAAGGCTCATATTACTTTAGGGCACTTAGTGGGTGTGAGTATGATTTTTAGTCATTAGATTGATCTAAATGAGGCTCAAACACCCTAAACTAGTCTAAATTTTGTGCTCCATAACGACAACCCCCTCATTCACATTTTTTTCACTCATCTTCAACCTCCATTCATCTTCATCTTTTCTCTCAAAAACACCCATAAATCCTAGAATATCTTTGACCATTTCTCCACCTTAAAACCCTCCATTTCAATATCTAAATCTGCCATTCTTCTTCTCTCACCTGATTGTGTGGTGAATTTTGGTAATGTCAAGGTAGACATTACATCACTCACAATAGTTTTAGGCAAACCATCCAATCTCACAATTTCTTTAAAGAACAAGTCAGCAATATTCACAGCATCATTTGTCTTAGAACAAGCAATAAAATGGGCCATCTTAGAGAATATATCAACAACCACAAAAATGAAATCTTTTCTAGTAGAAGATTTAGGCAATCCAATCATAAAATACATAGATATGTGTTCCTAAGGATGGGAAGGAACAGGTAAAGGCGAATACAATCCATGAGGTTGAACCTTATCTTTCGCCTCTCTACACTTAATGCACTTAGAACAAATGGCAATACATCTTTCCTTATATGAGGGCAAAAGAAATGCTCAGATAAAATAGCTAGGGTTTTCTTAATCCCAAAATGTGCCATCAAACTACTACCATAGGCTCCCTTGGTTAACAACTCACGCATAGAAGAATTAGGAATGCACAATCTTTCCTTTTTAAATAAAGATCCATCAAATCTATAAAAATCATTTAATCCATGATTCTCACAAGATTTTCAAATATCCCCAAAGTCAGAATCAAATGGATAAAAATTCTTTAGAACTTCAAATCTGAGTAATTGAGCATAAAGGTGAGTAAGAAGACTATACCTCCAAGATAGGGCATCGGCCACAACATTTTCCTTACCTTGCTTATGCTTAATCACATATCAAACTATCTCTATGAATTCAAGCCAACAGGCATGTCTCTTGTTTAGCTTGCCTTAGGATTTAAAGAACTTTAAGCTCTCGTGATCTAAATGAATAATGAATTCCCTTGGCCACAAGTAATGTTGCTATGTTTCTAGGACTCTTTTCAAGGCATATAGCTCCTTATCATAAGTAGAGTAGTTTAAGGCAGCTCCACATAACTTTTCACTAAAGTAAGCAATCAGTTTAGAATCTTGCATTAAAACAGCACCTATACCAATCCTAGAAGCAACATACTCAATCTCAAAAGCTTTATTAAAATCAGGAAACACAAGTAAGGGAGCATTAGTTAACTTATCCTTTAAGGTTTGGAAAGCCCTTTCTTAAGCCTCACCCTACTTGAAAGTCATATGCTTCTTAACTAGCTTATTAAGAGGTGTAGCAATAGTGAAGAAATCTTTAACAAATCTTCTGTAGAAACTTATTAAGCCATGAAAGCTTCTAACTTCAGTTGCATTCTTGGGAGTTGGCCATTCACGAATTGCAAACACTTCTTAAAATTAGCATAAAGTTTATATTTTCTAAGAATGTTAAAGACAATTTACAAGTGATTCACATGTTCAACCAAAGATTTGCTATAAATCAACATATCATCAAAGTAAACCACAACAAATTTCCCACTAAAATTTCAAAAAACATGATTCATTAAATCTATGAAAGTACTAGGAGTATTTGTCAAGCTAAAAGGTATGACTAACCATTTATATAGACCAAATTTAGTTTTAAAAGTAGTTTTCCATTCATCTCATTCTTTCATCTTAACCTGGTGATATCCACTCCTAAGATCAATTTTAAAGAAATAAAAGGCACCATGCAACTCATCTAACATATCATCTAATCGAGGCATAGGATAACAATATTTCACTGTGATTTTATTGATGGCTCTGCAATCCACACACATCCTCCATGATCCATCTTTCTTGGGCACCAAGATGATCGGTACAGTACAAGGACTTAAGCTCTCACAAACAAAATCCTTTTTCATCAACTACTCCACTTGGCGTTCAATCCACACACATCCTCCATGATGCATCTTTCTTGGCAACAAGATGATCGGTACAGTACAAGGACTTAAGCTCTCACGAACAAAGCCCTTTTTCATCAACTACTCCACTTGGCATTCAATCTCATTTTCTCTTCAGGGTTTACCCTATAAGCAACTTTGTTAGGAATGGAAGCTCTAGGTATGAAATCATTTCTATGTTCAATTGCTCTCAAATGAGGAAGTCCATCTAAGACCTCATCAGGGAATAAGTCTCCAAATTCTTGTAACAAAGAAATGACACCAGAAGGCAGAGAAGGATCAAGTACATCAGTAGAAAAACAAAAATCCTTACAAACAAGCAGTAAAACTTGTTCACTCTTCACAGCCTCTTTAATCTCACTTTTTTTATCACTCATATTTTTACTCCTATTTTTACCACTCTTCTTGCTTTTCTCTTTCTTTTTCTTTCCCACTCTATCTTTTGCTTTAAGAAACTCATCTTTTTTGCTTTTCTTTTTCTCAAGTTTGCCACACTCCATCAAATCTTTTCTTTCTTTTAAGCTTGAGCAATCCTCACTTGATCCTCATAAGCTTGAATGGGCTTAAGAGGCATAAGTACAAAAGTCTTTCCTTTAAATGGCACATGATAACAAT